TATATTTAGCCTTTTATTCAAGACTTATCCTGCTTGTAACATAACTGTGCACAGCCCTGCCTGTGTTTTTCTGTTGCTTGTGTTGTGTGAAGCTGGAGCTAACCCAGAGAAGTTCATGAAAAGATTCCAAGCTGCTGTGGAGTGGGAACTAATTAAATTAATTGTCCGTGTCAAATATCTTTATTAATGGAATATGAAATAATATTAAATAACCCCAAAGTGTTTCCATAAACACTTGAATTTGTGAAAAACATGCAAAATATTAACCTTCCAATATTTGCCTCTACAAATCAGTTTCTTTAATAATACAAATACTACTCAAGTTGGCAAAATTGTTTCAATTCTTAAACTAACAAGTTTTTTATAAATGGTTTTCATGAACTCATAGACAATAAATGGTCAGTAATATTTCCAAAAGGCTGAATTCACAGCACTGTATTGCACAGCCACATCTGAAATGAATCCTCATAGCAGGAACTCTGAAAAATTAGGTGTCCAGTTTAAAAGAAGCATATAAATGAGAAGGTTTCTGCTATTTAACTCCTTTGTAGTAACTCTCCACATGGATTCTGAAGGAAATTTGACTGAGCTGAGCTTTGATGCTCTATTTTCAGAGCATTAAGGTGAGGTAAGATAAAATCCTGCCCTTTCAGTGCTACAACAGACTGTCTTGCCAGTCACAAGGAGAAAAACTTTCAAGAACATGAACTGGTTTGCAGGGAAGTGGAGCACTGAGATGAAACCAGGGCTCCTCCCAGCACAGCACAGGTCACCCACAGCACTGAGCAGATGCCCAGCGCTGACTGGGCTGCTGGGACAGATCCTCTAATGTTGATATCTGACTTCATCAGACAGGTCAGGAGACAGAATGGAAAAGGACAGATCATGGAAAACACCCAAAGACATCTTCACATGTGTTCGAGCTCTTGCAGGCTTGCACAGTCAATTTATTTATTGACTTCACATTGTGATAGCGTTCCAGAAGGTTATCACTGAATGAAAAAACCATCTCAGAGTGTGAAGGAAACTTTCATTTTTATCTGAACATTTCACTGGTCACATATTTATTTACCATCAATAATTCACCAAAGTTAACAGCTCTTCACAAATCTTTGGTGTTTCCAAAGCCACAGCCCTCAGCTGCAGCCCTCAATGAAAAATGAGAATTTGCAGCTGCAAGGGTAAAATTGCAAAGTTCAGTTTAGACTAAAAAAGGCATTTCTTTCACAATACCTGTTACAGCATCAGTGTAGAGTAGAGCTCCAGAGCCACTGCTGACTCAGTAACACTCACAGAAATACAACAGCAAAAACAGCCCTGATCCATAATTTTTAACAAAGGGAATGTGCATCCTTCCAGTCATTAAAGTTTCCACTGTTTAATATGCCACATATTAAACTCTGTCCACTTCAAAAACAGGAACAATGAGCTGTTTCCTTTGCATAGTATTGACAAGTAATTTGGTTCATATAATCATTTGGATTTACCAAATGAGAAGTAGTTTAAGCAGCCTCCCAAGTCTCTCCCTTTTCATTTCTTCTCATGCTTAAGTTCAGTGCTCTCAACATGTCTGAACAAAATGCTTCTATCTATAAGCTTCACTTTACAAACAATATAATCACTTGAAGAGCGGTTAAAGATACCAGTTAGTTTTCCCCTGCTCCCCTGCAGAATATTTTTTAGAAGGACTTATTAACCAAGCCAAAATACTACTTTTCTGAATATTGGAGGCCTCCATCTAACCTCTTGTGTGACCTCCAGGTGATCCCCCTTTGGGTAAGGGAAAGAGTTGCATTGTGCTGTATATGCTGTGTATGCATAATTCAAACCCCAAAGGCTTTCCTCTAAAACAGGGATGGATTTTACTATCATGAGATATTGTGATGAAGTATATAAGAACTTTAAATGACTGTGCAATGGATGCAGTATGAGAATTTTAGGCACTGAATTACTTCATTTCCAGTTTATATTTTTTTCTTTCCTTAGAAGGTACGGAGGTTCTCTGTTCTCTCAGGAAAGACAAAGCGTGGCTAAATGTTGGAAGATGGTGAGAGCATTTTTTCTTTTCAGATAAGCAGAACTCAGCTTGGAGCCTGATGTGCACTTTGACTGTTACTGTTTCGTGTCTGGGCATACAAGTTAGTCCCAAAGAACCTCTGGGCATTAAACTGCCATTTTTAGTCTTTATGTGGACTTGTGTACAGACACTGGAACTTCTTTCCAGGACCACTGTGAGCTGTGAACATGCCTTTGAGGAGAGTCCTACCATCCAGGAATACAGCAAAATGTGGTGGAGAGACCACATTCCACCTTACAAGGAATCCTGCTGGCAAGCCATAGCACCTGAAGTCAGGAGACCTTTCCAAAAAAAAAAGTATTTTGCAACTGTCATGTCTCTGGCCCATCTGCTTTGCCCATCGTGATAAGCAATTTATCCATGATCTTGCCTTACTGGAAAAATCTTACCCCTGGAAAAATCGCTGCTCTTTGCAGAGTGCTCATCTTCTCTTTCAAGTTTCAGCATGAAGTGCAAGGCTGTAAGCAGCAGTATTGGGTGCTCTGACTCATTCCCTTGGAAGGCTATTTTTATGATTGTTCATGGAACTATATCTTAAAGCTCTCAGTTCACGTTCTTAAATCACTTTCACAGCTTTCTGCTGAGCCGTCTCAGCGCAATGGTTCTTCCCTCTGAGGTTACAACCTCTGCGAGGCTCTCGGGACTGTAACTGCGCTCCCTCACTGCAGCCTGCGAACCCAAACTATTGGCTGAGGACCTCCTTCCTTTTCCTCACCTCGGTAAGTGGCTCCGAGTCAGTGCCATTTAAAATTTAATCACTCTTGTCCTAACGGGACATAGTTCTTGGATTTTAACCCATCTTCTACACAAACCACTAAATTCAGCCACAGTGACTGCCTCCTGACAGAACCTTTATCTCAAGAACCTCTTAATGAGCTCTCATTAGCACAAATTGGCGCTGAATATCTCACCACTTCCTATCTCCTGCTTTCTCTGCAATCCATTAGCATCTGTTAGCAGCCTTGTTTGAACAATTAAACTTTACTGTTTCTAGAAACACACAAGAAACACCAGGTTCTACTATTCTCTCTTCCAGAGACCTGGGAAGGGATTCACACGGTCCAGCTTGACAGAGTCCAAATTCTACCTGCACTTCATTGTCCTCAGAGAAAGGTTTAACACGGGTTGTTGATGTCCCTGGTAACTCTGCCAGACTCCGGATCAGTCTCTTGGAGGTCCCCTGGAAAAGCACTAAAACTCAATGTCTGATGTTAAACAGGAAGAATCTACATCCTTTCCTCACAGCCCAGGGTCATGTTTCTCTGGCTGATCTCTGCACACAACTCTGCCTTCTCCTCAGAGCTGATTTGCCACAGCGTTTTGTTGTCCTTGTTTATGTCCACCTTGGATGTCTCAAACTGCCCTAAGCAGCCGGATTTTCTCATCCACGAGCCTGATAACAGGTCTTTATTTAACTGTGGTTCAACCAAAGCAGGCAGACTCAAAGTCTAAGCCATTACAATGGGTCCCCAAACCGTGCCTGTGGATTAAAGGCTTGAGGGGCCCTGGAAGAGGCTGATCCCTGGCAGAGAGTATGGAGTCCATCCCTACTGAAATCAGCCCCAAGAGTAATTGTGTGGTGTGATGTGAACTGTTTTTCCTGCACTTGTCTGGTGACTGTGTTTAAAGTCCCCTGAGAACAAACAGATCAGAGATTTTACAGCTGCACAGAGCTTGTGGCTGAACATTAGTGGCTACATTGGCAAGCAGATGGAAGCTGGTCTTTCTTCCTCTTTCCTAAAGACGTACAATCTTTTCTTTTGACATTTTGACAGATCAGCAGATTCTCACTCCATGTTACATTCCAGATATGCAACTGAGAGATAATTAATGTCTGTGAAAGTGAAAATATTGCACCTTTATTCCATATAAAAGTCTTTACTGTGCCACATCTTATAGGATAACATCCAGAACAGGGAAACAGTGGCTCCATTCAAGTCTATTACAAAACTCCCAGGGATAAAAGTGTTCATAAAGCTGTAAGCACACCTTACTATTTTTTGTAACTTTAATTAATTAAATGCTCTCATTTCATTAATGGACAAGCCAGTGAGAGCAAAATCTCAACTTCAGCCTTCATCTGACCAAAAGTCTCCATTTTGGTGATACAGATGTGAGGGTTTTTCAAATATCACATGGCAGAAACTCAGCAGAAACTGAGTTCCTTTCTCAGTGTAGGCTCCCATTTTATTTCTCACCAACTTGAAAACCATTATGGAAGCAGATCTTTATTTACTTGTGGTTGTTTGGGGTTTTCTCCCCCCATATATTAGGTTTTGGACATAATACTCATTTCCTTTTTCCCTTTCGTGCATCCCCAAAGTGAGTTTCACCTTACAGATGTCACGTTCAGTAAGGACTGAATCCCTTGCTAACAAATTGACCATAATGCTTTAAGTTCGTTGGTTTCTGCTGCTCTTCAGTGCTTTTGCTAAGTTCAGCAAGAGGGGTTAGGAGATGGCAAATTCAGTCCAGATGCGAGGAAATGGCTTTGCGGGCTTTACCCGCCTTGCCGAAGCAGCTCGCACATTCGGAATCGCGAGTTTAAGAACGCAGCGCGGTTCCCCCGGGGGTTGTGCAAACTCGGCTTAAGTCCTTTAACTGCAGGCGCTGAAGAAGTTGGGAAAAGGCCGGAGCAGCCGCAGGTTTTGCGCCCCGGCCGCGCTGCGGCAGCGCCGGGGGCGCTCCCGGGGCCGGGCAGGAGCAGCGCGGGGACCCCGCGGGGACGCGGCGCCGGGAGCCTCGGCGGGCGGGCGGTGTCGGGCTTGCTGCTCTTCCCAGCGCTCCCCGTGAAGCCAGCCCAGCGCTGAGACCCCGCGGCAGCCCCCCCGCCCCGCCCGGCCCCGGCCCGGGGCGGCTCCCTTGGCTCGGCGCCGCTCGGTCCCGCCTGCCCGGAGCGCTGGGCTTTCCGCGCCGCCCGCCCGCCGCACCGCAGCCCCATGTCCGCGCTCCCCGCCGGCGCCGACATCAAGCGGGCTCTGGAGAACAGCCCCGAGACCAACATCGAGGATGAGCTGCCCGACGAGCCGCCGCAACAGCGGCCCAAGTGCTACCTGCTCCTCAGCATCCTCTCCTGCTTCTGTCCCGCCTATCCCGTCAACATCGTCGCCTTCGTGTTCGCCGTCATGGTGAGTAGCACCTCCGGCTTGGGTTCCGAGGGGCCACCGCCGGCCCCGGCGGGGAAAGGGGCATCCAGCCGCCTTTGAGCAGCTTGTCCCGGGAGCTTGCGGACTCTGGGTGAGGCAGCGAGCCTGGGAGCATCAGCAGGAGCGGGCAGGGGGTCCGCCGAGCTATCCCAGCAGCGATGGAGAACGTGGAGTGAAACGTAGCTTCCAACAAGTTTTTCTCTGTCAGGCTATCGGGTGGCAGGTTTATTGCAGTTAATGGGGTTTGTTACATCAACTAAGTCGCACGCTGAACAGGATTGTTTGAAAGTATCATTTGTATTTGTTTGAAAGTGTCAGCTGGAGAACAGAAATCAGATTTGGTTTCTGCTTTAGCTAATCAAATGTAATAAGAGTGCATTTTTTCCAGTAAACAAGCTCTTTAATACTATTTATTAGAATAATACAGATAATTATTATGGTTGTAGATTGCTGGTAATTGCCCATGTAAATTGAGTATCAAACACACTGAGAGAACAGCCTTACTCCTACAATCTGTAATTGATACACATTGTCGTTAATAACCCAGCAATCCCCTTAACTTCCAAAGTACTGTTGGAACAGAATCTCCTTCTCTGAGTTAAAAGTTGCAGAGTCAGATCCAGAGTTTTCTAATCATATACATGATCAGTGTTATCAGTAACACTGCAATGCATTTCTGTTGTTTAGGAGCTGAAAAAGGTTTAAAACATGTTGTGTATTTTCATCCTTTTCTCTGACAGCCAAGCTGACAAGGTAAGTAAAATTGTAGTTATTTCTTTTTGCAATTAAGAATAGCTAACTATGTCTCAAGTATCCCAAAACACACTCTTGTAAAGTGTGATGAGTAAAGACTGATAAGAAATCACATTTTTGAAGTTTGAAAACTACTATTCCAAAGCCATTGTTCAAGTCTCCTTTTTTTTTTGCAGTTCAGTATTTGCTGCCTTCTTTTTTTTTCTTTTTTCTTTTTTTTTCTTTTTTTTTCCTTCTGTGTTTATTTTCTTTCTTGTTACCTTAAGTATACAATATGCTCTTTTCCTTATTTTGGGAAGGTTTGGTTCAGCTGGTACTCAGCATCCTTTCTGTCCATGGACACTGAGGGTGCTATATAAAGTAATGAGAGCTGATGATCTGGGGCTGGGAGCGTCTGTTCACTGTGACACTGCTTTCATCAAGGTGCTGGGGCTGTACAGAAGTTAACTGTCAAGGACAGAATTTGGCCTCTAAAGATTTTTGCAGCCCATATGGAGAAATCTCCACCCACAGCCTGGTTGAAGTTCATGCAGGCTTCTGGAGTCAGGCATCAGTAACTGTTACCAGGGGATATGAAGGAACCAGGGTGGGAAGAGCACTTCCTGAATGCTGAGCAGCCTGTGCAGGTCTCAGCTGCCCACTCCCTTGCAGGGGGAAACAGCAGCCAGACCAATAACCTCCCCTGGCAAGGAATAACTTCTGTTTCAACAGCATCCTACCTAAAACTTCTCCTTTTCTATAAAAATAACCCATCCAACTTCTTTTCCACAGCCTGACCCCCTGCCTTTCCAAGCTGCAACCTGTAACTGCTGCATTATCCTCAGCTGCAGGTTTATGCATTTTAGCCTGTGCTGGTTTTATTTCCACTTCTGGTGGGATCTGCAACCTCCCTCCCTTTCTCAGCTGGAGTTGCTAAGGGCTAACACTGAATTATAAGAGTAGTCTAATTTTTTTTCTTAGAGAAGATACCTTTACAGTCTGCAGAGCTTGCCTGAGATCTTGGGTCAGATTTAAAGACCCCTACAAGTGGTTTATCTACAAATTTCCACTTTTTAAAATGGGCCCAAAAGGAAAAGTCCTATTGGCTTCTAGAGGGGGCATGGTTCAGCACCCTGTGTACCTGTGTCATGTCCTCCTTAACTGTTCTAAATTCAGACAATGTTTTCACTCTAAAAGTAGAGTCTGGGCTCTAACACACCCCCAAAATAAATGACAGATTTGTCTTCAGTCTCTTCTGTCTCTTCTGCTGCCCCATTTACAACTCCAGCACTGGTTTCCTCACTTCTTTCTCACCTTTGGAGGCTCAAACCTCACCGTTGCAGATCTTACCTCCTTTACTTTATTTTTAGAATAAACCTTTTCCAAGTTCTCCTTATTACAATAACAACCTTTCCCTGTTTCTTACCTGTCTGTTCTTCATGGCAGAGGTCAGAGCTGGTAGAAAGGACATTAATGGCATCAGTGTGTTGCCACATTGGCTTTACAAGAGCCCCCTCCAAAGAGCCATTGGCCACTCTCAGGGGTGAGCATTGCTCGGCATTTTTGGCAAGTGGAGTTCTGTTTTCCCCAGGACTCCTGGCTGTAGGATCACTGTTCTCAGTACCCTTCTGCAGCCCCAGCCAGATGCCATCAGTTCTGCTCCTTGTTGCTTGCAGCAGCTGGATCTCTGTGAGCAGCTGTGTCATGTTGCTGTGCCATCAGTCGGCTCACTCAGCCCCAGGGACGCCTCCCTCAGATTTGCCCTACTCTTTCTCATACAGGTGTAACCACAAGAATCAGGGGCAAGAGTTTGGGGGCAGGCACCAGGTCAGGAGGCTTCTGTGGCACAGGAGGTTTCTGTGCTGTGGGGCTGGGGGTGGGCACAGTGTCACTGAGCTCTTTAGCTCCTTGTCTGCAGTGGTGAACCCAAAGAGCTCTCACAGCTGCCAGCTGTGTCCGAAACCTGGCTGGGGTGGACTGGCTGTGTCTGGCTCGTGGGACCAGAGCTAGAGGGAGGCTATGGAATAACTCTGGGAAATGAATTGGATATTTTCAATGCCAGCACTGAGGTCTGACAATGGAACACGTCTAGTTGGCCTTTCTCAGTACCACCCCCCTTCAGCTGTCTTTATTTCAAAGATCTCTATGTCAGACTAGTCCTGTAATTCCATAGGGCCTTACATTTGTAACAACCTCCAAACAGTCTCTCCAAAGCTATTTCTCACTGATTTTTGCTCCAAACTCCCTCTTTCTGTTGACACATTTTTGTTTAATCATTTCCATGCTTCAAACAACATATGTGGTCAAGCTGTGACAATCTTGGCTCATCTGCCTCTGGTAGTAACAAGTTCTTCGTCTGCATTTGTTGCTGTTGGATTCAGATGCCTTGTCTTTATATGGGTTTCCCTAAGCAGACACAACAAATCAGAGGGTGGTGGAAGCCGTGGGGACAGGAGGGGATGGACCTTGCTTTCCCAGGGAGCCACCTCTTCTAAGTGGGATCCTAACGAGCCATGTGCAGTGTGTTGGCTGTGGCCAGCTCAGTGACCAGTGTTTCTGGAGTTAGAAAGTTTACTGGCAGAGTTTATTATTTATAAATCCTTTGTTAGGTAGCTTGTAGGTACCTGGATATCTTACACCATATGGGACAGCCTGGAACATTAAACATATTTAATATTCATACTTATTCATATATGAACTTACATTCATATTTAATATTAAACAGGGCTTAGCAGTTGCTGTTAAGGCATTTTTGCATGGCCCTTGCCTTTTCAGACTGGTAGGTTTTTGTTTTTCCTCTGTAACACTCTGGAGAGCAAACTCCTCTTTCATGTGTCCTGCTCAGCACCTGCCTGTTCTGAATTATTGCTCCCCAAACCCCCCTTTTCTTTGTGTTTCCCTGTGAGCTGTTCCTACAGTGAGGAGTCACCCTGAGTCAGCAGGTCTCGTTCTTCCTTAGGTCTGAACTAGAGAGTGTCTCCTTTCCAGGCACAGCCAAATAAGGCTCACCCAGCCTGGCTTAGAAAATGCTGATGAGAGAACCTCAGTCTGGTCTGCCTGGACCTGTAAGAAATGTAGAGGAAGATTTCTGAAGTTACTCAGTGTTCTTTCTGGTTTTGCCATGATCAGTGCTCTGGGAGTGTGGAAGAGAAAAATAGGGATATAATAGGACATAAAAAGGGATTAATATTTTATAGCTAATTCAGCACATTTCTGTTCACATGAGGTCAAGTCACTTTATTGTTGAACTGAGAATGTTTTATAAATAGATGTGTGTGAACCTGGTGAAGTCACTGAGATTACTCAAGTAAATAAACAGCTGCAGAACTGTGGCTTTAATTTACATTATGACTTCATAGAGAGCGAGGTAGCAGAAACCTGAGAAATCAAATGGTGTTAGGCTGAAAAGGGCTGAAGTTTGTTTTAAAAGCTGGTCAGACCAAATGCCTCATACAGGTGCTGTGTTCTCAATATATTGCCCAGCCCTTGGAAATAAATAGATGTAACAGTTTAAAGCTTTAACAGTTGATGTTATCTCTGTCTAATGTTGAAAACTGGAAGCTTGACCAGGAGCCTTTTGAAGCAGATGGAAGTAATGAATTTCAAAAAGCTTTGCATCAGACCCCAATCACTCACTCAAGCCTCTTACTTTTTATTGAATGCTTTCTAAGTTATTTCATATGTCATTTAATTTAAACCTCTTCACAGAGAAACTTTGGTCTCCTTCCTGTCTCTTCCAAATCCTGTTCTTTATCATTAATGCTGTTTTCCTCCTCTTCATCGTGGATTTGTATTAAAATGACATTATTTATTAAAGTTTGCACAGTGAATTATTTATGCAGTACCTGCAGAAATCACACTGACATTTTCCAGACTTCCTAAATACATTAGTAAAATGCTCCAGAACTGCAAGCTGGTGCTGTCAGGTCTTGCTTACAGCTCTGTCTGACTTCAGAGACCACAAGCCCGGGGAACGGAGCCGATGGTGTCTGCGGAACCCCTCTGTAGACGCCATGCAAGAGGAGTCCTTTGATAAGAGGGGAGCACAAAGTCCAGGGCCGGGGTGTCTGTGGTGCTTCTCTGTGTTTCTCCTGCAGCCACAGTGGCATTGGTGGTTGTTGCCAGAGACAGGAGGAGGTCAGTCTGCTTGAGGCCAAGCTGAGCTATGTTTCTCCTCACAATCCTTTTAATGACCTTCCCAAATGTACTTTGAGAAAGCTTTTCTGCAGCCAGGACTGCTGGGGACAGTGGAGTGGCTTAGGTGAGAGGACTGTGCCAGCTCCCTTTGTAACAGCAGCAGGGCTGACACTGTCCTGTTTGACCCTGTACTCATGTCCATCCCTCATTTCCATCTCTGCCCTCTTTCCCCATTATTTGCTTTCCAACCTCAATGAAATCTGACAGCAGAGCAGAGGTATTAGTGATACTCTTTGGGGACATAAACCAGAGAAATATTTAGGCATGTGGGCTTCCAGGAAGGGAAGAAATGTAACAGTGCTCTCTTTAAGGACATGAGTGCATCAGGAGCTCAGCCTTTCATAGACTCCAGAGAATAAGTATTTGCACTTATCCTTGAGATGCAATTCTAGGAATGCAGGCTGTGTTGCTTTGGGACTGGCTGGGCTGTGCTGATGCTCCTGCAGTGCTGACACCATGAGTGCACACAGCCCATTAGCTCTGTGTGTTCACTAATCAGCACAGCACACACAACATGCCCTTTATTGCCTTCCTGCTTGGGAGAAATGGCTCTACAGCAATGCTTGGTGTGCTCTGAACTTCATCCTTTTCCTGCTCTCCACAGTCTCAGCTCCTCATGCTTGTTCTGTGTTTGCTGCAAAAAGTGATTTATAACTGAAGCACTTTCATTATAGCACTTGGTGATACCTCATGCAGTCATTTGCTAGAGACAATCTAAATTCTTCATTTCAGAGAACAGTTAATTTGATCAGGTCCCCATATCTCTCCCCTATTCTTCCCATTTCTCTGATACCTCCTGAAATATATACAAGATACTAAAAACCATGTTGTGACTAATCTGATTCCCTGAGGAAGTATGCTGAGTTCAACAGTGTAATCTGATCAAGAAATCTGGACTCAGTGTTATGGTTCATGAACTCAAACTCTCATGGTTTTGCAAAAGAATTCTTAGGAATAATGCCCTTTTTAATGCTTTGATAGCATCTCATCCTTGGGGAAAAAATACTATAAATTGTGTTTAGACTCATGTACTACAGTACTTCTGTCTCTTTCACTGAATCTTTTCCTTTCAAAATGGTTTGGTTAAACCAAAAATTAATTCAGAAAATCATATAGTCTGTCTCACAAAAGCCTAGAAGGTTAGAGTGGTCCTATCACACCTTGCAATCTGAGCATGTAACGAATGTAAAGCATCTGCTAAGTCATGGGTGGGTAGAGAGAAACTCAGTCTCTTGAGATGATATGGGGATATCTGATGCACACCTCAGGATAGGTATGATAATAATTATCAGTGTCTTCCAGAAATGCAAAGGAACACAACTTCTAGCCCATGAGGATGGCACTCAGATGTCTTGTTCAGATGACCTATATTTCTTTGGTTTGTATTTTTCCCACCACTAGCAAATTGCGTATTAATTCTTCAAACTTTGGAAAAGTAAAATATGGGAAAAATAGGAAATTAGTAAGCTTTTTTAAGTTTTACTGAGACTTTCTCTAGAAATGCAGCCTATTCATGCTCTTTTCTGTGCTTATAGTCCTATAAAGCATAAGAATTTATCTCACTGCTAGTGAAGTGGCCAACTAACAATTCCCATCTACTACAAAACTATTTCCAAAGATAAAAGCCACTGTTTTATGCAAGTGGGTGGATGTTGGTTTGAGAGCTTTTATGCTGGTGTGTATCATATGAACAAAGCCTCACCACTCTAAAAAAAAATGAGCTGTAGCTTCAATGGAAGGCACTGAAAATGTGTGGAACAGAAAACTGGACTCCCTGCTTGCCTTGGCAGCAGACATTGATTTGTTGGTTCAGAGCTGTCACGCTGCTTTGCCAACAGGTTTGTGTTTTAAAGGAACAGCTGTGATTCCCTGTTTCCCCTCTGCAGGCTCTGAACAGCTACAACCAAGGGGACATAGAAGGCTCCAAGCGGCTGGGTCGCAACGCGCTCTGGGTGGCCGTGGCCTCCATCATCATCGGCCTCGTCGTCATCGGCATCTACTGCGCGGTTCACTTCACAACGGTGAGCAAGGCCTCACAGCCCTCTGTGCAGGCACTCCTGAACAACACACTGAGGACTGCCACAACTGCCTTTCTTTATCTATTTAGGGATGCATGTATGCCTTCCAAAAGAATTTTTTCATATTTTACGGTTTAGAAAATTCTGTTGTCTGTGGTTAAACACAGGCGACTCCGTCTGGGCAGCAGGGGGTTTTCATAAAACTCTTGCAGCTCTATTATGTTTTTCCAGTTTTGGCCAGTCGCTTTTTGGATTTTCTCCTCCTCAGCTCCACCATCTTTCAGACCAAGTGACCTGACATCTTTAAATTTCAGGTAACAGATTCCCCAGGTGCTAATTTTCAGTCCCACAGTCTGGCCAACTGATATTTTAATTCTGCAAGGAGGAGACAATAGTCAGTTGCTCTTCTACTGTTTGACAGTAAAACAGATGACCAGAACTATATCAAAAGTGACCACAAATGTCATTCTGACTTGGGTCTCTGTGGGGTAAGGTCCTTCACTCTCCATGCTGTGTTATTGTCCTGCCTTCCCACACCTGCAATAATAGAAACAAAGCTCAACAAATGAATCTCTGTAACACATTGGTTACCCAGATGGATTACTGGAAAAGAGGACAAAAGCAATTGAGGGTATTGATAACCTTTCTTAAGGCTGTGCAACAATATGTTCTTTTCTCCACAATACTGTGCACTTCCCATTAAAATTACCAATTTAAATGAATTTATTATTGGCTGGTTTGGTTGGAGAGCCTTTCAGTGCACTGTACAAACTTATGCATAAACAGAGAACAGTCCCCATTTACCACTGAAATGAGGACATCCCCGAGGAGTGGAATGGAGTTACTGGTTAAAGGTGTACAGCATTTTCGTACAAAATTTGAAGTATGACATATTGAGCTGGAGGGGAATTACTGGGCATGGGGTCCAGCTCTGTGGGACATTATCAGATGGTGCCACAGACTCTGAAGTGTTCTGTGCATTCATTAATTTTCTATGCATTTGCAAGCATGAGTTGTGGTTCAGCTTGTGTTCAGCTCATTCTGCACTCACAGATTTAAACCCAAGTCCCTTCAGGCTGGGGGTGCCAAGTTTTGTAATTGACAGCAGCAGTAAATTCTTCTGTTCGCCTCCACCACCTTACTCATCATTTCTCAGGCAAGGAGAGCAGCTCAGTTATTTTTTTCAAAGTAGAGGAGAGAAGGGCAGTGTGAGGAGTGGCAGACAGCACTGGCCTGAAGCATTCACAATGACCAGATAGCAGTAAACCAGCATAATACAGCTTTATTTTTCTTCTGAGGACTTTTTAATTTGGTTTTGGTCCTGGGGTCTTTTTTAAAGACAAAACTCTCTGTTGGGTGGAAGGAGCCAGGTGCCTGGGAACCCTCAGCATACTGCTGGGAGATTAATTTCTGCACATAGTTTCCACAAAGCTTTCTTGGCCAAATGGTGCCATGACTTTTGTGAGGAGCCAGGGTTTACTGGATTCACTCTGCTCTTCTAGCCTATTTACTGCTCCCCTTCTCCCTCTCACTTGTCACCCTCCAAAAAGCCTTTGCTTCTAAGAAAGGATTTGATGGCAACAACAATCTTTCAATGTGAAAATGAGTGAACAGAAGCACCCAACTGGTCTTTCCACTCTCCATGCTTACCTGGGTCCCTTCTGTTGCCTTTCTCTTTGACATTTCACTTTATACTAAATCATCTTAGTCTGACATGCCACTGAATGGCTTTGCTCGCTCCCTTCAGTGATCTCACACCCATTTGTGCCTTTCTCATTATTTACTGACAGCCACTTTGCCTCTGCTGAAGTGAAGTGGTTGTAAATAAATTCTATCCTAACTTTAAAATATGTTTCAATATTAGTAAGGTAGCACAAAATAACTTTGATACAATAATATGGCAGATTTGATTACAATTAAGCACAGATTTAATGTTTCCATGAACTACACATGCATTTTTCCTGAAAGTTAGACTTCAGCAATATGTATGAAAAGCTTGACCCTTCCAAGATTGATTCCTGTGTACTTTATCCACTTGAAATTAATCAGATACCAGAGTACCCAGTTTTTCCTGCTGACATTTCTTGTGGCTTCTTTTGGTCTTCAAAGGATAACAAGTCTCACTGCAAATTACCTCTGGGAGATAGCGCTGCCAGTATCAATGATGTACTGAAGTGTACTGAGAATTTGAGTTCTCTTCCACAACATCCAGCCTCTGGGAAACAACAAAAGTGAGATATCCAAGTCAGGTTGGCAGGGGGGAACCTCTATGAATTCTTACACAATTATACCAACTTCTTGGTACAGGAACTTGAGTCAGGCTCAGCTGGCTCTGAAGCCTCCTTCAAAACTATTCCACGTGCCTCAGCCAGGAGAAAAATATCAAGCCTGGTGTGTTGAGGGTAGAAATGGTAGAAGCTGAAGAGAGAGGAAGAGCAGGAAATTCCTGCTTTGAACAAACAATGGTTTTATAGCACCAAAAATCCTCCCAAATGTACCCCCAATAATAGTGGCAGACTTGGGAAGAGGAAGACCCTTTCACTTTTCAGAAAACCCCTGCTTCCAAGTGTCCTCATGTGCCTTCCTTGGTTTGTTCAGTCACAGAGCAAGAGTAGCACAGGAATAACAGCAGCCAACACCTACGTCTGCAAGGAAGAAACAGCCTTGACTTCTCATTTTGAAGATTTACTCGGAGCTAAGTCAGCCTGGGGCTTCTCCTGCTGCCTTGGAGAGCCTCATTTGTCTTAAACACTGGCATGTTATCTTTAGCAAACATATATTAAGACATGTAGTGATACATATTTATATCCTGGAACAGGGCCCACCCTCCACTTGGGAAGTATCTACATTCTGCAGTCATGCCCCTAAATGTAGGCAAGGGGAAGCCATCACTTGCATCACTGCAGTTGACAGCCCAGCAATAAAACTTGTGTGTCCTGATCAGTGTAAATTGGGGTGTCCCTCAGCATGCTGAAGACTCTGAGTGCAGAGCTGTGCTCTGTGTGAAATCAGGGCTGTGCCTCAATCCACACTGGATTCTGTTATTGATCCACTATTCTTACTCTTCTCCATTTGCTTTTACCCTCTCCTGTCAGCTTCCCCTGTGCCCCTGCCTTGCCAGTCCTGAGCGCTGAGTTACATTTCCAGAGCTTGCTCAGATTAACTTCAGCTGGTATTTGTGTCACCACAGTCTGGCCCTGCATGTGTGCCTCAGGCATGTTGTCCATCAAGAACTGCAGTGAGAAATGGGACCTGTTTGCCTTCCCTGAGGGGACACCACGGTGACCTGGAGCAGGGCAGGGCTGTGTGCCACAGCCTGTGTGTGCCATACACAGTGCCACTGTTCTCATGCTCCTCTTAGCAACCTTTCCCCAGACTTGGAGTCAGCCTTCCCACCTCTAAGCATTTTGTTCAGCAAAAGGTGGTAATTTTGTCAGTCAGTGAGGGCTCTCAAGTCATTTACAATCTGTGTTTTCAGAGCAGCCTCAACATTTTTGATTCCAAATTCTGTTTTGTTTTGGGTTTTGCTGACACAAGACATCCTCGGATTGCATTTGAGTTCTGCTGGCAAGGTTTAGGGAAACAAAAGCCTGGGCTGGATCCTCCTTACTTAAATGAAGGAGATCCTAGGTGTCCCAAACCCTTTTCTTAACTGGATCTAAACATGTCATATTCTACTTCATTCTGCTATTTGAGTAGTTCAGAACAATATTCAGCTCCTCACAGCACATACTTGTAGACCATTTCTAGTGTCTGACTGACACCTCACAATGCTGTTCAGGGCTGAACTAGAGCTCACATGAGTTTTGCCACCTAGTTGAGCCACAAGGCATTTCATATACAGCCCACGTCTTCTGTGCTCCTCTCTTTTGGATTTCTGCAGTCTGGACAAGTAGGAGTGAGCCAAGCAGAAATGTGGAAGATGAGTGAGAGGTGTTAGAGAGAAGTAAAAACTTCAGTAGACTGAGAGACAGCAACAGTTTTGCTCTGAGGAAGGGTAGCCAAAACGCTGTGACTTTGGAATTTTATGCAAACCATTATATTTTAATGCTTTCGTAGAGGAGCCTGAACTTCTGACCCCTTCTTTAACCTCACTTGATTTAGAACTTCGCCCCAGGGAAGCCACAGAAATGCCACCTGTCAGCATGACTTCCAAGGAACACAAAGCCAGCCAGGCTGTGAGGAAAGCACCAGCTTGCACTGCTCAGAATCAGAAGGGTTTTAAATCAAGCACGTGTGCAGTAATGCAGCATTGGTAATTCCTGGCAGAAGGAAAAGGAGTAAGTGTTTAAACTGTGCACCAGGGACAGATGTACACACACAGTTTCCTCAGACTTAGAAATAATTCTTCAGGAGGAAAAGGAATGCAAGATTATTTTTAACATCTCTGCTGTCCTGTTCCTGAGGCTCTCAGAAGCCTTTGCAGATATTTCACTCAGAGACTGCCAGTCTTTCAGAGACAGAATAAGCTGAAGACCAGCATGAGGACAGGGATAACTCAGCCAGCCTCAGATCTTTACATTGGCCATCCTGTCCTCTGCACCTTACCACAAAAATAAACAAATCAGGGTCTTGTGCTGCAGGGATTGGCCTGCAGTAAGGGACGGAGCTCCAAGCCTGAAGTCAGGGCATTCCTGTTCTTTAATTCTTGGTGTCCACCAGCCAGGGAGCTCATACTGCTGCTTTTCTATTGGTAAGGGCACATACTGATTATTTCCTTGATCCTTACCTTGTTTTCCTGGATTTGTGAAAACACAGGAGCCTAAAGTCCTCTACCTTTCTCTCAAAGTGTTCCCTCAGCTGGGGGGCTGAGCACAGTGTGCAGCTGCACAGACAACATGGTTACATCAGCCTGACTTCCTTAGCAAACCACATGAAAAATCCTGATCCTGAAACAGCTGTTTCATCTGTGCACAGAGGAGATGTTCCCACAATGGATTTTACCCAGTGGAGCCATGAGTAGCATCCAAGAGACAATCAGCAAAGGCATTGATGCTGTCTGCAGGATATATTTACTGTGAAGTGCCTCAGCTCCTAGATCCTGCTTGAGGAGCTGCTAGAATGTAGCTGCCTGATGGAGGAGATCCCCCAGATTCCAGCAGAACCCAGAATCCAGGGATAGGTCAGGGCACCCATGGGTGATGTCTGAGAGCTTTCCTCTACACAAGAATTTGAGCTCCTCAGATCCTCTCCTAACGCAGATGCACAGGTTTCCCAGCCCTTTTAAAGCATGTTGTGTATTACTGTTGGATTTCCCAAGTTCCCCCCTGCTGGAATGTTGTTCTTGTCTGACTGCTTCATGTACCACTCCAAGGAAGCAGAGATGCCGCTGACCTCATGAATCTTTGTCAAATAAGAGCCCATTTCCTGGCAATGAACAGCCCTAATTTGCATTGATTCAGGTAACCCAGTTTAAAAATTCAGTTTGGATTGACAGATGACCAATGCCATTAGAAACTCAGCTTTTTGATTCAAAACTGTATTGAGCTGCTAGTCTAGAGGGATGTTTGTTAAGAGACCAAATGCCACTAATGTGGCATAATGTATCCATTAGATCTGTAGAATTAATAATTTAAACTCACAGGGCAAACTCTCTGTCTTCTCCTCCTTTAAACACATGTATTTCTGTGTCCTTGCAGCATGCTATCTGAAGACCAGGACTGCACTTGGATGGTATCAACATGTAAACCTCTGGAGGGGGAAAAAGAAGAGATGGAAACCATTCCAGACTGTTAGTTCTGACCCTACAAGTCTGCAGAGGCATGTTACTGGTGAATGAACTGATAGCCCGGTTAGTTAATCAGCATGGCGTGACCAGGTTTTCAAAATTATTTATTTATGAGACATCTCAGTATAAAGCAGCATTTTCTCTTTCACCCTAATGTATCATGAGATCTTGCCCTTAAAAAAAAATCCCTTTTCTTTCTCATTTCCATGGAATGTATGCTGGATCTGTGATGTTCCCTGGCTGACCCCAGCCAGTCAAAGCCAACATATCCAGACTGTTTGTGGTGCACAGTGTAAGATCTGATGCACAGCCCACTGAAGCTGGTAGGAGAACTCCTGTTACTTCTGGCAGATTTTGGATCAGGCCCTTAAGGATTTTTTTCATTTCTTTAAAATAGTCTCAAGGTGAGACACCTGTACCTATGGGTTTGTGATTTTATCCTGCTCTGTGATTTTATAATGCCATGGGCACACTCTGACTCAGCAGCTGCTTTCTTTTGTCATCCTCCACTGTTAGAACTTTACCTTGGATTTTTAACCACCTGGGACCGATTTCAATCACTTGATTATTAAGAGAGACTCTTCTTCCATAGCTCCATGTTTTTCTTAATGATTTATTTTTGTTTTGTTGTCTTTCATTGTTGCACTCCCTTGACTTCGCTCCAGTCCTGCATTAAATTTGCACTGATCATATTTTCCTCTTTAAACTTCATTTATGTAAAAAGTTCCTGTTTTTTTTATCTGACAAAAGATCTTTTTAAACAGATGTCCTTTATCCCTTTGTTGTTGTGCTTCTACCAAGGCACATAGTTTCATTGTGTTCTGCTTTGTTCACGTGGGTTTTGTTTAGCTCATCCTCTCATCTCTGTGACTGGTCTGTGTATCACTGCAGTTAGAGATGGACAGACTTCTGCACCTCTGCCTAGTTACAGACACTCTTCCTGATCCTTAGACACTACTCAGCGAGCAGCCTCAGGCTCCAGACCTGATGGCCTCTAAATTACTGCAGTTTCTTGATACCTTGTGAAAATTTAGCATGGGACAGCTGTTTTTTATTAGCTGGAAACTGTTTCACAGAATACAATTGTTTTGTCATGCAAATATTCCGTGTTAAAAGGAGTAAGCTCTGGAGCATTAAGATGTGGCTGCATCCTCAGCAGTTGCTGCTCTCTTCGCTTTATTACCACACCTTCAAGAGAGCTGTGCCAACTTCCAGTCCCTCTCCCTGCACCAACTTCAACCTGGAGTGACTGCCTAGAAATCCAGGGAGTTCTGCAGGTGCAGGTGAGAGAAAAATCATCTGTCAGGAGTTCAACAACCTATAAAAAACAAAAGAATCCTCCCAGAAACCTTTACCTGTTAAAGCATATGCCTGGAAGTAGCATGTATTTTTTGTGCCTTGATATTATATTTTCAATGTGCTTTTTTGCTTTCCTTCCTGCCAAATTCTGTTTTTCATTGAAGTCAGTGAAGCATCACCTCTCCTCAATTACTGCAGTATTAAACTTCTCAAACACTGGTGAAGTCAGCTGATTTATTAAACATTTACACTGATCAGATTTGTCCACATGGGAATCTTGCCACTGATTTTGATGTTCCCAAGAATTGCCTGTTCTGTGAACTCCTCTTTGGTTTTTGAATACTATTTTAATGGTCTGATATGTCTTGTGGGACTTTTAGTAGCTTGCCTTATTATCAGATATGATAGAAATGTCATTGACAAGTGGAATAAAATTACTTTTAATTCACATCTATTCTGGTATGTGGGAAGTGTCTTTCCAAAGTTTTGTTGCCTCTTCTACTGGAAAGAGTAATAACCCTTTTTCTAACCCCTTGGACAGTTTCAGAATGAAGTGAATCACAGCAAAAGGAGGTTTCCAAAGATATGTGGGCACCAGAGGATAGGGATAGGCAACTTGAAGTATTTTTTTTAAACTGCCTGACAAGGGTTGAGATCAATAGGAGTTATGCACCCGACTTGTTCAGAAGCTTTTGAGAACCATACTGGAAATCTAACTTGCATCATGTTCCTCATAAATATCTTTGAAGTCTCACTCGTAATATAATTGAGAATTGAGCCATTGTACCTTCAGTGCTTCTGAAGATAAATGTTGGTACCTTACAGTGCTATTGATTGGTATAAAAATAAAGGCTTTATATTAAACCACTTAATGTGACAGAGAGGAGAGAATGCAGCAATTCCTCTAATGTCCTTAGTGCTTCTGTGTCATAGGTAATCTTATTTTTGCTTTACTAATGTACTGGTATTGGTTCTCTTCATTTATTTATGTTTACATAAATTTTCAACCATGTTTGGGAAGTGCAGCTTGTGCTGGAAAGAGGTATGGTCCTTGTACAACCACATCCTTCTGTTGTGTGACAGACACATCCCAAAGCAGGCAGCAAACACAGGGAGCCTAAATGACATTTTAGTGCCCAAATCAGCAAGGCCCTAGGGCCAGCAGTGGGTGTGGAAGGCAGAATGCAGGTGTCTGACTGAGGAATTTGTGCCTGCTCCATATTTTGAGGGGTATGTATAAAAATTTCATTATCTCTGACAAGCTCTGGAAATTACCTGTTCTTCATTGTAACGCATCTAGATTTGGATTTGGTCCATTATTCTGCATTGGACCTACCTTTTTTTGTAGGAAAGAAACCACCTGTTATATTATATATGTGCTGAATGATGTTATTTGATGACACAAAGGGAGGTGGGAAGCAGTAAAAATGTATTTCAACTCAACATCTGTGCCCTGGGTGCACAAACAGAGTCTTCCTTCTGCAAAGCTGCTTCAGGCTTCAGTTTTTTGGACTCAGTGTCCTCGCACGCTGAAGGCACCAATGAATGCCTCAAGTCCAGCTCCCTTTTCTTTCCTGCACATATTACAGGCAGAGACAGATGGAAACTTGAAATTGCTGGCCTCAGCTCCTGGATCATGTTGGCACCTTTGGCTTCTTACAAGGCAGCTGCATTCTGCTAAACACATATCTTGATATGTAATCCTAGAAGAGGCTTCTAAATATAAGTGGGGGTTCTTAGCTGCTGTATGAAGGGGGTCGGCCAGACACTCAACATGTGGTGTAAATTTCATCAGATTGCACAACAAAAAAAATAATCTTGGGGACAACATGAAATTAAATTCTTGGGGTGCCTCCCTGCAGGCACACCCAGGAGTTTACAGCTTTCACCTGAAGATCAGCGCTGGCCCTTCAATTTATGTGGTTGCAACCAGGATCCATGAGTGGTGAGGCTCCAGAAGTTGTAGCTTTTGTACCTCTATCTTTGGATATGTGCTAACAGTGTGTTCTGCCTCTCAGCCTGGAAATAGGTTGTATCTGGTTGCTGCCACAGTGTCCATCACTCTCAGCATCTGTTCAGGTGCCTCTGCTGAAAGTGTGCAAACATCTCTCTAGGCTCATTTCCTCCCTTGGGCCCTACCTTGCTCTACCAGTTATTTATGACTGATTGCCTCAGAAGGGGGAAGATCATCTCCCCCATTAGTCTTTACTTTGTGTGTTTTTGTGTGCACACACACAAGAAGAGTTGAAGGTTGAATTCCCAAAGGCAAGTAAGATCTAAATACAAGGAAAGTCACTGGATTGATGGGAGCCAAGCTGGTTAGAAACATTCTGGTTATCTGACAGCTGTTCAGGAGCCTTTGTGGAAGGTGGTGTTTCCTGGAGGGAAGAGTTCATATCACCAAACCTTGAACAGATGTGGAACCTACCCTGGCTTTGTAGGAGATACCTCCAGGCAAGGCTGGAGCCCTCAGGGCTCTGCAGGGCTGCTGCCTGACCCCCAACTTCCTGAGACTGAGCCCTCAGTCCCCACAGGCAGCACCTTCAGGCTCAAAAACTATCTAAATGATGGTTTCCTCTGACAATCCTCCCACCTCCAACCTCATTTTGAATTAGCAGGGCTCAGGAGGTGTGCAGTGTTGGAGCAGAGAAGGGATGCAGTGGTGTGTGAGGGATTCCTTCTTTGCACTCCCAGCTTTCCATTTCCCAAGCACAACGGCATGTTCTGCACGCACAGCAGGACACGTGTCCCTGAGACAGCACTGAGCCTCTGAGGAGGCTGCCCAACTTCCTCTGCTGCACTCCCTGCCAGCCTGGCAAAGTGGGCTAAATCCAGAAGTGACCTAAAAGGAGGAGGGGGCCTGGAAACAGATCACTCAGCCACTGTAAAGCTGGAGGAACAAATTTGGGAATGGAAAACCACAGTACGACCAGAGGGTTTCTGCAGTTAAATTTACGCTGTCTTCAACTCTGGGGTAAGTTCTATCCTGCTCCTACACAGCTCACTCTCCACAGCACACAAGCTGCAAGAAGCACTTGTTCACATGTCCTTTATAATGTGATTTATGGCATGTGTGAATCTGATCCACCACCTCACATCTGAGGATGGCTCCTCTGGGTTTGTCATCTCTCGCTGTAGGGCTGAGTCAGCTTCCACTTCACTTGCAATGACTTCTCTTTGGCTAAATAAGCTTGCCTCATGTCAAGGGAAAAGAACTTTGCAAGATATCAATGGATTATTCAGGACTTTGAACTGCACAATCTGAGGCTGAAGGCCACAGCATTTCTTTTTGGACACCTACTCTGAGGTAAGAGAAGGGGAAACTCCACTGGAAGTGAAGTCCCCAGACCAAAGCAGGCTGTGTGGTCACAGCGAGCCGTGGCAGCCTCATGTGCACATTTCAACCAGTATCCAGTGGGGGCTTAATTGCCTTTTGATTTTAATCAAATAATTAGAAAGGTAATCCAAACAGTGAAAAAGAGCACAGTGTTTGATGGTGAGTGTCATCCCTGTCTTCTGTGCCTGAAAAGCTTGTAAGGTCACCCTTCACCCCATCTAATCCAAGACATGCATTCCTCTAACACGGGTCTCTCCTGACCTCAGACCTATCCTGTTTGGTCCTCACTCTCTTTGAAAATGAGTCAGCTGATAGAGAGGGATGGTAAATGATATCTCCAAGGGGGTAGAGTGACTCAGTAGCAAAGATGTCACTTCACTTGACCCCTCAGCCTGTACAGCACCCAAAGTGCTCTGCAATGATTCTCAGAACTTTGACCAACTCTGCTGAGTCTCATCATTTTGAGAGCCAAGAACCAAACAGCCTTAAATTTAACTTCTGACTCAGAAGATTTAATAGTCAAGCCAGGTCTAGCTCATGTTTACTAAAGAAGGTAGGTCTGAGGGAGGGAAGAAGGAGCTGAGCTTTGCTTGTGGCTACTGACATGGCAACTAAGAGACCACACAGCTCTTCACATCCTGCAGGTCTTTTACAAGCCTCTGCTTTTACAACCTCACATTATCCTAGGAGGTGGTGTGGCACAGTCATGACACCAGATAAAGCATTTCATCAATTACTTTTATCTTGTCTTATGGGCTGTGAACAGTCTGAAAGTGGAATGTGTCTTTTTTTTGTCTTTTCTTTTTTTTTTTTTTTTTTTTTAAGGGAATTTCTTATTGAGAATTAGTCACTTGTGTTTTCCCCTGGTCCTTTTACCCTAATAGGGGTGGAGGTAGAAAAGGTATTTTGTAGTCTTCCTTTGGAATGTGGAGGCTGCTTCAGATGGGGTGGAAGAGGAGGAGTTTTTATGCCCTTCAGGCTGCAGAGCATAAAAGGAGGCAAAAAGTCACAGATGCTGTTGAAGGGAGGAGGAAAACTCCAGGATTCCAGAGAATCAGTGGGCGGCTGAGCTCTGCCAGGCCCCTGTGGCTTGTCTTTAGCTAATCCCTCACTTCCCACATCTCCTGCATTAACAGCTGGGAGGGAATGGGGCTCCCACTCAGGCTGAGGGGAGAAAACGACGCTCCAGTGAATGCAAGGAGTGTGCAGACAGACGTGTGAGGAGGTGGGGGATGATTTAGCTGTTCATGGTGTAATGTCAGCCCTCAGTATTCTCGGGACCAGCACCTGACAAAGCGAGTTACAGGCTGATTGCTCCAGGACTGTGCTACACCCACCTGTCACGGCGAGGGGAGACAAGAACTAGTCCTGAAAAGGGAGCAGACACAGGGAAAACAGACTTTAAATGTCTGGTGTACGCTTGTACCTACCACAGCCTCGTGATCTGTTAGCAGTCCTTACCCTGCAGTTTGTTACCACTCTGTGGTTCTTAGAAGAACAAAAAACATTGCAAAGGCCAGGCCCCAGATGAAGGTACCATGGCCTGTAGAGGGTCTGTGTGGCTGTTGTGCAGATCATCACAATGGTCCTGGATGGACAAGAGATGGGCAAGACATGGTACCCTGTACTGCAAACAGTGCTGGCCAGGAAAACTGGGGAGAACAAAACAACCGGGGCTGGAGACAAGGAATTTAGGAGCACTAAGCTGTGTGAAATGCCAAAATAACAGCAGCTGCATTTCATAGCAGGGGCTGTTGTGCAGGGCTGGGGAAGAGCTGCTTGCACACATTGCCCCGGCAGCCCCTGCCAGCCTGTCCCCCAAAGGGAGAAGCTGTTCCCCAAAACACAGGGCGAGCCAGCACTGCACTGGCACAGCCACCCCGGCAGAATTCTTCCCACAGTGTTACAGTGTGGGGGA